GTCAAGAGTCAACCACTCAAAAGATGAGGAGTCTGAGACTTAAAGAGTTTAAATGACTATAGAGGCTTAGAACTTAACAGTTAAGCTTTTTTTTTTTTTTTTTAGCATAAGGAGCTTTGACATTTGATTGGATTTGAATCCAGGCGTTGCCATTATTAGCTGTGTCACCCTTGGCAGGTTACTTACGCTCTCTGTCCTCCATTTCCCCATCCTTAAAACAAGGATAAAAATATATATTTCATAAACTTTTTGGAAAATTAAGTGCACTAATATATGTAAAGTGCTTTAGTACTAGTACAAAGTAAGAACTCAGGAAAGATGGACTCTTGTTAAGGCTTTTCAGCAGAGATTCAAGCCGTGAGTAAAAACTAGAAACCCCCTTCCCAACTGTACCTTTGATCCAGGGCCTTCCTCACTCACTCATAACCCCTCCCTTTCTGAAGGCTGCTCACCTGTGCCCTCCCCACCAAAGCAGACCCTTTTTGGCATCTACTTCAACTAAGCAGTCTTGCCTTCACCTCCCAGGGCTAGAAGTCTCCTACACCTGCAAGACAAATGCCAGAGCAAGGGCCCACCCATGGTCTGGCTGCTGACTCCCTGGATTCCAGATAACAGGTGCCTGTGGTCCAACCTGGGGGGAAGGAGGAAACCAAATTGAAGCAGTGTCTGTCATTCATTCATTCATTCATTCATTCTTTCATTCATCAGCTATTTATTATCCAAACATTAGGGTAGGTATTGGGAAGGTGGTGGTGAACAGGAAGGACCCATTCCCTGCCCTCTTGACACAATTTAGGCATCAGGAACAACAATAATAAATAAGCAATTAGTTAATTTTGAAAGGAAACCTGGCCTCAAGGGTGATTTGGGACCAAGGAAGGCAGGCATGTGATTCAGAGATGGGAGAGGAAGAGACTGAGGAACCCCAGCCTGGGAAGGGAAAGAGTCGCTGCTCTGAGTGCTTGGCTGGACCCAGCCTGGGGGATGGGAGAGCCTCTGAAGCTCTACTCTAGATGCTGAGGTTATTTCCAGGGTTGGTTTGTTGTCTCATGTTTTGCAAACAGCACGGCAGAGCCTCCTCCTTCCTCCCCCAACCCTTCCAGATCAAGGCTATTTATTCCTAGTGACAAGCCTGAGGATCCCAGGGGGGGGTGGCCTGAAGGACCTAGAGGGGCCTTGTGTCCCTGGCAGGCGCCAGTCCTCCCTGCTGGGCACAGGGAGGAAGCCAGAGAGTTGGAAGCTGTAGAGGTAGGGAAGGAGGGGGTTCCCTCCACTTCCCTGCAGTGCCTCAACCACACACACTCCTCGCACCCCTCCCTGAGAAGCCCAAAAACCATGGGGCCAAGGATTAGGATCTCCCCGGGGCCTCAAAGGTCAAAACTATTCCTGGGCACTGTGGATACCTAAGCAGGACTTCTCGGTCCCAGGATGCACCTGGAGGTGAGGAGGTGACTACTTCTGTTTTTGCCAATCAGAGTTATGGAATAAAGCCCTTTGAAGGTCAAGGCTCTGTAGGGGGTTGGAGGTGGGGTCGTCTCTTCACTCCATGTTTCCAGAGAACACCTAGGTCCCCACTGACAGGGCCATGACAGCAGAGTCAAAACTACCCTCTCCTCCAGGCTGGATTAAGGCCCCTTTTACAAACTCGGGCTGAGTGTGACCCCCTGGGGGTAAATTGGGAGGTGGGGGACACGACAAGGGCCTGAGGACTCTTGGTCCCCAAATGGACCTTGATCAGCTGGGTCCTGTACCCCTTGCCTGAGACAGAATACAGCAGTCTCCGCTTGCAGCTGGGGGGGCGGGGGGG